TTTCTGTCCGCTGATTTGGACATCCTCTTCTTCTCCCCTCCTGCATCATCAGCTGCATTATTCTCGCAGTTTCCTCTCTCGCCCGCTGCTTCTTGCTGCGGTGTCTTTCTCGCTTATCATTATTGCTTTTTTGTCCAGTCACTCCCGGGGGGAGTGTGTCGTCTAAGCACACTGCCCCGTTTGGCTACGGACCAAATGAAACCGATGCTGTGATGTTGGTTGCTCCGGCGACCGGACCTCTTATCTCGTTCGCTGCCTAGTATGCGCGTGTGTCCATATGTGGATCAAGCTGTGAGCCTACTGTTGGTGCTACAATTAAATCTTAGCTATGTTCCTCCCTGTCCTTCACGTACATTTGCTTCCCGGGCAGGCGTGTGGCACATGTAGACAGTTGCTATTGCACCCAAAAGACTATTAGTCTGGTTATTTGTCAGATGGGATGCAACAACAATAAAGCTAGTTATGTTGGTCAGCCATATTCTGGGTCACCCTGTGGTCGTGAAACAATAGCACGGAACCTTTGCTCCGAAGGCCACACGGAGATAGCCCGACGCTGAGTTTACTCGGTGAGGAAGAAGAAGAACCGCCTGACTAAAGTCCGATCAGTTCCCCCTGTGACGGAGTGGTGACTCACAAAAGACACAGGCAAAACGCCCAGCCACCGCGCCCCATCTCAGGCCAGCACAACTTGAACTCCCTCCAGGTATGATGGTGAGGAAACGACGGCAGGAGTTCTATTCAGTCCGTTAGTTTTCTCAGCTCACAGGGTAACTCCGTTCTGAGGTCAAGGTCATAGGATCGATTTTTGTCAACGAAACAACCTAGAACCCCTTTTAGAACTCTGATTTTTGCGCGTGCAGGTACCAGCAAGGGTTTGTCAGAGATCGGCGTGAATTCAATAACCGCACCAGAGCCTATCCCCGGTAGTCATCGTTTTGTCTTGCTATTAAAAAGTAGCAAGAATTGGAAGAAAGAATTAGACAGATGTGGCACAATTCTCCCTCATCATAGACGAATTCACCCATAAGTCTGTGCTCTGCTCCCGATACAGTGGTGGTCACCATCCAAGGCGATTGACAAACTGTCTGTCTTAGATTTACTTCACCCTAAGACATCTGACCTGTGAACTTTGCTGGATCAAATGTTCCACGTGATTCGCTTCCTCGCATGTTTTTAGCCAGAGAACTTTTACCCGGGTGAGACCAGTCGGCTAAGATCTTACTCTTAGGCCTATATTCCCCTTCGAACCGTTGGAAATGGCGGTGGTAGCCAGTCAGGTTTGTGAGACGGGGTAGACGGAGGCCTTAAGTCGCTTCCGCCATCCGAGCCCGTCCTGCGTTCAAGTCGGACCATCAAAATCTGCCTGACTTAGAATTGACCTTGTACTCGGACTGGTTTTTCTGAAATCCTCAAGGTCTAGCCGTGGCCCAATCATGGGTTTATATTTCATACCCTACTTGCCTACAAAAGATTTCTTCCCAGCGCATGGGTTGATGTCTTGAGTTTTTACGGTCGCTTTGCCTCGGGAAAGAAAGCTTTTCAGACCGTAAATCATCCACAAAGGGCACGACTACGGGACATTTCTTCACTGATATTGTAGAAGTGGCTTCAAGCAGGTCTTGTCTCTAATGGATTGGAAAAGTGCTTAGTGGAGCATACTTCAAATGCACTTTTACGAGCCATATGGCCTGCAGGCCTTTCGCAGTCAGGAATTGTACGTCAACTACCCTCACCCCCCCCCACCAGTCGCACTCGGGGGCCCCGGTGCTAGAACCGCACTGTGCAGTCCGCGTAGAGTGGATAGCCTAGTGTAACGAGCCCAGATGTCAGTAAGAAAGGCGGCCCAAGGAAAGTAAGGATTTGGCACTTGCTATGTACTCAACCGTCCTATGTACAATAAGAGACTAAAGGGGAAACCTAATTGCAAAGATAAACTTGGGCAAGGTGAGATTGTCCAAGAGAGGTTGGTAGAGGCACAGGGATCCGGCGAAGACAGCGACAGAGGTCCCACGCCCGAGGTTAGCAGCCTGCCACGGGGTCGTTGGGGCTTCATCCTCACCCGTATTTATAGCTTCTCCAGGAACCAAGGACGTCAAGGTTGAGTCCGCCATTGTTGATTGGTTGAAAGTAGGTCACGGGGAGAAAGTTAAACAAACATAAGCTAGAACTATTTTGATTAACTTGACCCGGATGTGATTAAACTCGCGTCTTTCGATGGGGCCTTGTAGCTCAAGTGGTTAGAGCGTTGGCTGTACTAAAGCCTTCCCCTTACTGCGTGAATTCGAATCCCACCGAGGCACCGAGTTTTTCACAGTTGGGTCAATATGAATTATTCAAAATCTGCCAAAACATCTATGAATTACGTAAGCCTGGTAGTCATCTGGTGAATTCTAGGTGAATTACTTAGGAAATCCTGCTTGGGCAGTCAATTTACTGTATCAGTTTTGGTGGATTCCAGACGTTGCAGTAGGTTGGGCGGGTAACTTGACCCAAATGTGATTAGACTCGCGTCTTTCGGTGGGGCCTTGTAGCTCAAGTGGTTAGAGCGTTGGCTGTACTAAAGCCTTCCCCTTACTGCGTGGGTTCGAATCCCACCGAGGCACCGAGTTTTTCACAGTTGGGTCAATATAAAGAAGTTAGGGTTATATTGATTTACTATTTGCATACTTTTTATGAGAAGCCAGATTGCGACTAAGTACCTGGCGTATAAATATGGAAGAGTTCGGTGTGCGCGCACCCCGTTAGGGGCGCACTTTCTAGAACCTTCTACAAGATGGCGGCACGTGGTCTGGCTTTCTAGAACTTTCTACACTAGTAGACAAACCGAAAACGCAGAACGAGGCACTAACACGCAGCAGACCCAGCACGTCCTCGACTTTTATGGAACGCGAATTTTTGCCAGGGGCTGTGGAAGTCGTGACAGTCAGACTTTACCTCTGCTAGACGGCCTGTGGTACTACTGCTGTCCTCTAAGGCAGGCGAGCAAGAATTGTAGCGAGATCGAGCAGAGGCTGTTCGGCGACTGCCGCTCAGACGTCCGCCTGTTCGACCGTCGCCGACGGGCAACAGTTCTCCGTTTGGTTGCACTGGTAATTTTCGCCCCCATGAATGGAAGCTGTTCTTCTCACAGCAGGGCTTTCCATGCCTCTTGATTTTTGTAAGTTTACGC